GAAACTCATGAATGAACAGGAAGTGATTTAAAGCACTTCCTGCTCATTCACAACTGGGGACACATGTTCTCCGCCCACTGCACAGAGGGAGTCAGCCGGCAGGGGGGCGGGTCATGGAAGAGGGGGCCGGACAAGCAAGCTGCATGCAAGTGATTTCAACGGCTTCTCCTCGGATCCCCGGATCCATAGGAGACGCTGCAGGCTGTGACCGCCATGCCGTGCTGAGACCTGGCTGCGCCCCCCCCCGCACCTGCACCCGAGGTACTCGCCTCAGTCGCCTCGCCCTAGCTAAGGCCCTGCACTTTAACATATGTTGCATTAAGGCAGCCCATTTATTTGAAGGGCCGCCTAGTGCATTTTTGCCAGTGCACCACAACACACGTAAGTGTGTTTTGCCGTGAAACAAAGCAAGATGTGTGAGCAAAGTGCAATGGGATGCTATTTATAATAAATGGCACTGCATCGCACCAATGCAAATAAAGTATGGCAATGTAGAGCAATAGTGTGAAAGGACCATTAAAAGTTGTAAATGCACTCTGTAACTGCAATTATACATCTTACCATTCCTTTAATACAGGCATTTTTAAGTGATAGCCTGTTAGTCAGCTTTAGAAAATATTTACAAGCTTCAATTAGCTTTATTGAACCCTTAATTACCTTTCAGCTCTTGTCTGGTTGTGTTATGAATCTGTCTTCATAGAATTGGTTTATAGTTTTTGACCTCTGAAAATTAGTTTGGATGATTTTCTAGCAGAACAATTCAGCATAGGCAAATAACATTTACCACATTTATCTTACACTTATTGCCCTTGACATATCCATTTATCACACCCCATAAAATCATTAACACATATTGACTCATGACCTCATTATACCCCCTAAACCTAGTCCTTACCTCTAAAATTCAATTTAACTACTATAACCTAACCTTAAAGCAGATACAAACCCAAACACTAAAAGCTCTAAAAGCTTTAATGTGTTAGGGCCGAAAAATGTGTTTCCATGTTACATGTGTTAGTGTGTTGCGGTGTCGTTTTTGTACTCATCATAAAATCCACTTCTCTGCATTCACTGAAGGACAATGCGAGGATCATAGATCAAGAACCATTTGGTTATTGTGCCACCCATAGAAGTAGGATACTAGGTACCAAACACAGTTAAGGAGAAACATACTTCAACAAGTGCAACAGGCTCAGCCTCAAAATATTAAGGGGGTGGATGCTGTGTCCTTCAATGAATGCAGAGAAAAGGATTTTTTATGGTGAGTAGAATAAAACCTATTTTCTCTTACTTTCATTCAAGGACATAGCGAGGGACGTCACAAAGCACTGTCTACAGAGGGGTGGTCAAAAAAATTACAATTTACCCTCAGAACACAAAAAAAAGGCAGGATCACACTGCAGCCTGCAAACCCTTGTGCTTAAAACTGGCATCTGCAAATGCAAATACGGCAATCTTTGTATAACTGGATACAGGTATGAACAGAAGACAGTGGCTACTTTACAAATCTAAGAAACTGAAGCCTGAGGACGAGAAGCCCAGGAAGCACTTACCGCTCTAACAGAATGAGCCATGAAAAGGCAAGGAGGTTTCCTACTCCCAAGAGCATACGCAAAGACAAAATGCTGTTTAATCTATAGTGGAAAAAGAAGCAGCCTGTCCCTTCCGAAAAACCTTACATAATGACAAAAAGAGAATCAGTCTTACGAAATGATGCCGTAGTATCCAAATAGACCCTAAGTACCTGAATATCATCTAGGCATTGCTATTTCCTTGCAATGAAGGGGTGTTGGACAGTGGGAAGGAGGAAAGATATCCTCATTTAAGTGATATGAAGATACCACATTGGGAAGAAAAGAGGACCTGGGGCAAAGCACAACCCTATCCCTATACAAGGCCAGGAAAGACCAGGAAGAAAAAGGCGAACTTCTGAGAAAGTGTCAGCAGTGAAGCTCTGGAATGTTCTCAAAAGGAGGTGGTTGAAAAGCAGAAAGCACTAAATTCAGGTCCCATGGCATCAATGGGGGCCTAACAAGAGGAACAATGTAATTAACCCCTTAAACAAAGATACAAACCAGGGTATTGTTAAAAGAGTAAAGCCAAGGCCGAAATCTGGTCTTTAACTGTACTTAAGGCCAACTTGATCCCCCAACATTGAAGAAAAGCCAAATTTCCAGCCAAGCAATACGTTCGCAGTGGAACCTTTAAAAGGAGAATTATGAGGCAAGTGATTTTCACTCAGCTTCAAAATCTGAGCCGACCTGTGACAAAAACTGCCACTTTTGCTGGACAGTTTGGTCTGTTAAAGGAATTTGAAAAATTACAGACTTACTGGCCAGATCACAAGGTAAAAATAAAGGAAAAAGCCTAAAAGAGAAAATACAGCCATCACATTTACATACTGGTAAGCTGCAATATATTAAATTTTTGCTTTTGGGTTTAGATATGCTTTAAGGCTTCAGATACTGTATACATGGTCCTCGATGCCACCTCCGCTTTCTTGTTTGTAGGATCTTTGAAAGACGTTAACTCCTCCACAAGAATGATAGTAGGCTTTTTGAGACAAGAAACTGGTTGAGACAAGAAACTGCTGGCGAGGAAGACCACTTTTTTAAAAGGCATGCTCAAAATGATAGCAGACTGAGAAATGTTTAGGGCCCGAAAAGGACTTCTTCTATACCAGGGCACTTCTTAGAGGATTTCTGTAACACCACAACAAGGATTTCTGCAACAACATTGTTATGCAAAACAAAGCCCCCCATGGAAGAAGTAAAGGCCTTAAAGAAAAGGCCAGTACCAGGGGCCCAAGAAGGCTCCAAGGGGTATAGATGATTGTGACATAGATGCAGGCTTTCAAATTCACACATCAGCAATGTTCCTCCAGAGGAGCCAGCTGCCCTCCCAGTTATGTCATGCCATCACTAGCACACTATCCAAGGCTATCAGCAGGCTATGAGAGGACATACCCAGGGAATACTCACTCCCCAGCTCAGACAGGATCCCAGGTGAGCAAGTGTCTGCAGTGGACAGTGAGCAACCTAGCAGCAGCCAATCGTTCAGCCAAAAAAGGGCTGCCCCTTCCGCCCACCCAACAAAATGACCGTGTGGGTTAAAGTGCATGATAAAGGACAAAAGCCCAAAACAAAGGTGGCAGTTATGTCTTCTGGCATGGATAGGCTGCAAGATGCAATCTCGAGTAGAGACCCAGGCCGACCCACACATATGGTAGGCCCAAACCCAGCCACGCTCTCCTACACAAACCCCTGGCCCTCAAACATACCGCCAATGAAAAGAGGGGAGAAGGACAGACAGTGCTCATACTCAGTTGTGTCCCCTCCAGGCTGCCATCAGGGCCCTCCAGGGAAATGGCTCGCCACCTTCTGCCAGAACAGGACACACCTAGGCTGTTTTATGTACCTAGCATCTTACTCTTGTAGGTGGTGCTAAAGCACAGTGGTTCATGATCTGCAATCTTTGCTGTGCCCTTCAATGAATGTAAGATAAAAAATTAATAATAATAATGGCCTAAACATGCATGTACTGTTTACTTGTTATTTGCTTGTAAACACTAATTTAAAAAAACACCAGAGTCAGCAAACATTTTTAAACATTTAACAAGCTTTGAGCAGCTCTTCTAAAGACTTTAAATCAGTCTCTAGTGCTAGTCCAGGTGCGGTGAAACAAATCTTCATGGTAGCATTGGTACTGCTTAAAAGAGAGAGGGCGTTTTTTCTAGGGTTCCATTTTTATGAAGCTTAAGGCCTCCTTCACACAGCGTAGAGTGGGCGTACAGGTGCTGCGTGTGATTTTATGAAGCAGCCTGTTATTCTCTATGGGAGGACGCGGCTGTACGCTCACCCAAACTGCACAGCCGTGTGTGTGTCTGGATCCTGTCTGTGTCCGAGCACAGACACCCGCACGGATGTGCAGCTTGGGTGAGCATACGACAGTGTACGGTCACATCCTCCCATAGGGAAGAACAGACTGCTGCGTACGAACACACGCAGCACCTGTCTTTCCATGGAATGGCCGGATATGGCCATGCATGCCAGACAGAGCTGTACGGCCCCACTCTACGCTGTGTGAAAAGTGCAGCTACTGCATTTAAAAGGAAGCTCACCAACAAAACTGGACCCAAAGAAGCAGCAGCTCACTAATTTGACAGTAATACATGATAATAAAAAATGTCCAGGTAGAGCAGAGTTGAAAGTTCCAACTCTTTATAGCTTCTGCAAGTAGTTGGGGAATAAACTTGAAGAAGCCAAAAGTGCTATTTTGTGCACTTCACAATAGCAGCGTAGCAGCGCAGTTTGGTCAAGAACATTGGGCCAAAATGTACCCCTAGCTTGTAGACTGGTTAATGAAACCTCAGCAGCATTCTGAAGAAGTAATTACAGGAGGATATTTAAAAAAAACAAAAAAAACAGGTTGCATTTAAAGATACATTTCATGATCTGTTAATAAACACAACTGCATTCATCTTTTTATCTGACTAGGGTTTATCTTTAAAGAATATCTAAAGGAAAAACATACTTTGCTTTTTTTTAGTAATAAAGGGTAAGGATAAAATCACTGTTAGTTTTATTTTTGCCATCTGTGTCCCATTAGGGAAATTTCCCTTCATGTAGGGATGTATTTATAAAACATTCTCAGAGCCATTTGCTCTTCGAACATATGGCTTTTACATTCGCACTGCATTATGGCCTGGCCCTTATGTCTGAGCTGCTTTTATTCCCTATAGAAGTCAATGTGAACAGGAAAACAACAAAAAGTAGCCTATTGCAAAGGCAAACGAAACTGCAAGGCAAATTAAAGCAACTTAAATGCACATCAAGGCATGTTGGATTGGACTGGCTTCTGAATTTGAAGCCTGTCTACACAAGCCCTTAGCCACTCAAATATTTGCTGCTTTGCAGGTAAATATACAGCAACATAAAGCTCACACAATGTCAGAGTAATCAAAACTGTCTTTTTTATGTGACTATAGCTCTAGTACTTACAGTCCTCCCCTGAATATCCAATGACAGTGTTCGGCTCCAGTGATCTGCCATACTCATTTTCTGCCTGTACTCTTATCTCATAAGGTGTGTACACTGGAGTGTTCCAAACAACATGCCTGTTAGTCCAAACAGTGATATTATTCCAGGCTTCTCCTGAGTGACGCTGTCGCCATTTCACATTGTAGCGTAGGTTCGGCCCATATGCTTGTGTGGAGTTCAGCGGCTGTTGATTGTAAAGAAAAATAACACACACATATAAAACGTAGCTTTTATGCAAAGAACAATTGGTTTAGTCTTATTGGTGAATTAAATTGGACTCTTAACCTCCAATCATTAAAAGGGTATTAAAACCATACTGTTCTGCCTCGGCACTTTCCATGCCATACACCGTTGTCATGGTAGGATAGTTTAGTTTTTTAAACTGAATGTTAGATAAACAAAACAAATGTTCTTTGTTCATAGGCAAAAAATGTTTCTTATATGGCAAAGCTCCAAAGTATTTTGTAACAAATACCTATTTCCTACGCTCCTCAGCTCCATCTATTGACCATACTGTTATTTTACAACTACATTTGACCTGGGAAACTCCATCTAGTGGCCACACTGTATTCTTACAACAACAAACTACATTCAAACTGGGAAACCACATCTATTGACCACACTGTATTATTACAAAACTATGATCGAACTGGGAAATACAGTGTTTACTATATATGGAACATTCAGGGTTTTTTTTGCATTGTTCATCCAAAACGATTGTTCACAGACATTCGTTTGGCTCTCCGCATATAGGTTATTGTTTTTAAATAGTCCCCTTACTGTCCTGGTGATAATGGTTTACCCTGAGAGAGAAAAAATCTCCAACAGAATTTTTTGTTATAAAGTGGAGAAAAGCTAGAACCCCTGTCAGGTCTTTATTGCAATCAGTATTGCACGTTTTCCCTCACATACTTTGTAGTAAACTGTTGTTACTGTGACAGTACGAGAGGAGAAAAACCTGAATAAAGTTTTTACTGCTATCCGGGGGGTGAAAGATTTGCAGGAAGTCGTCCTGCTGCAGCTGTTTTATCATAAAGGAAGTGGGGGAAAGTCTGCCTTTCCCTGCTGTACTAAAGAAAAGTATTTTGTTTTATTACAGGTATTTATATAGCACCGACAATTTACGCAGCACTTTACATAGTTGCACATTTACATCATCCCCTGCCCTCAAGAAGCTTACAATCTAAGGTCCCTATCTTACATGCATATATACAGGGCGCTTTAGATAGGAGCCAATTAACCTATTAGCATGTCTTTGGAGTGTGGGAGGAACTGGAGTACCCGAAGGAAACCCATGCAAGCACAGGGAGACAGTGCAGATGGTGCCCTGCAGATTTGAACTGGGGACCCTCAGTGCTGCAAGGCAGAAGTGGTTATCACTTGACTGCTTCACAGCCCTAAGGCCTGGTTCACACTGAGCATATTGTCACAGCTGATTCAGCGGGACAAAAAGCCTTCCCAAAACAATTCCACTCATACTTATGACCCCTGTTCACACCTAAGCATTTTCTCACAATAAGCAAAATGCCTGTCGCTGGAAAAGGTACATAAGCTTCTTTTTGACAGACTACAGCCCCATAGAGTGAATAAGAAACGCTTGGAAACACACATTGCAAATGGTTTGTGCATTTTATGCGTGTTTGCGCGCGTTTTTGCCATTTACATCAATGTGTCACAATCTGTTTATAAAAATGCACGTGTCTACACGCGAAAACGCTGTTGCCTAGTTGTGAATCAGGCCTTAAGAGTTGCACCAGATTGCATGCAAGATTTGTATCTGTGTGTGTCTTTAGCAAGCTAACTTTAGCAAGCTAACCCTCCGGTGGCACACAGTAGTGATAATTGTTTCACAGGAGTGTTTTATCAGCCCAAAATAAGTGCTCTCCTCCCTACTTCTCCGCCAAAGCAGGTCCCTGCTCCAGTTAACGAGTCAACACGGGGAGGCCGTTCCTTGACATACTAGTTCCCTTGTAAAGTAACCAGCCTATTTATCTTTAGTAAATCAATCCTCTAGGGTCATGCAAACCTATTTCTTTAATCAAATTTGAATGCTAAGCTAATGTCTAATATCTTACAGGATAGAAAATTCCTACTTGCCATCATCCATCCAGGGGAAGTAGTGTAGATAAAAAGTAACAAACATCTGAAAAAGTTCTTGCAGTTCCACAACACTGAAAATTGAGGGCTACACAGAAAGCAATCACCATAGATGGAGAACCATTTGACATTGATGTAAAGTGGCTATTCAGAGTACTTTTCAGGTCTAGTAATTAAATGTATAATCTGTCAGGGTAAGGGTTAGTTCACACCAGAAACTGCATCACAAATGCGTGCGTCTGCGCAGTTGCATTGCAATCCCTTTTGTCGCCTTTGTGATGTGTTCCGATGTGTTGTTTTTTTTAAACTAAAAATGCAATTTCCTTCCACTATAATTATGAAAGCTAATTGCATTTAAGCATATACTGTAGATAACATTACTTTGGGGAAATTACTCTTTAGTACATGGGTGGTGTACAACTATCTAGCTGGGCTGTATATAAAATATCAAAGTTGCTGAGAAAAAGAACTCGCCACATTTTTCTTTTTGCACCCTGCTCAGACCAGAAAATCAGGGTATAATTTGGCAGTTATCTCCCTCCACTTTCCCATCTTCTGCCATTGATTTTGTAGCTGGGATGCTTAGGATCATGGAGCAGTAGACACTCCTCCACATATTTCTTGAAGATGTCAGCATCCACATTGGCCATGGCTCCAATATCTCTTTTACCTACAAAGAGGAAGTCCCTGGATGATGATGACACAATCAATTTTTTTCTTCTTTTGGGATGCGTTCTATTGAGTTTTGATGCGTTTGCATGCATGTTTGATGCGTTCCAGTGTGATCCCGTGCAGCTAAAATAGGACGAGCAGTATTTTCTCTGATTGCATCGGAACGGACTTCAATGGTGTGAATAGAGCATGAGAAAGCCCATAGAAAAGGATTGTGATGCATTTTGGCTGCAGCAGCCAAATTAAATGGACTGCATCACAACTGCATATGGTGTGAACTAGCCCTAAAAACTCCAGGGTGTTTATTCATACATATGTCCCTGGAAAATAGCAATAGGGTTAGTGTAAAAAAAATAAAATAAAATAAAGTGTTTAAAAAAAATTATAAAAATTAAAAGATACATAAAATAAAAATAAAAAAAATGCAAACAAAAATGTTTTAAAGTCCACCACGTGAAAGCACATACACACGCAAACTTGCGTCGGTGCGCCTATGTGCGAAAATGACAATTGACAAATGACAAAAAAACGTCAGAGTCAGAGCAATAATGCTAGGGCCATCAATCACTGTTAGCACTAAATTGATAAGCGGTAAAAGCGCTTAAAATGTTCCCTATGGGAAATTTTGGGTATGGACTTTTTTTGTGGCTTCAGAGGTGAACACAATTTTAAGGCTTGACATGTTTGTTATCTATTTACCCAGCGTGACCCCGTCTTTCATATTTTACCAAAAACTTGGATATTATATTATGTTTCTGTGCACTAAATTTTAATTTAGTTTATTTTTTCCTAAAAATACTGGTTTGATAAACATTTGCGCAAAAACCATGCAACATAAAAAAATTGCAACTAGCATTTTTTTTTTCTACAGGGCCTCTGCTTTCATAACATATATAATTGTTTGGGGGTCTGAAGCTGTTTTCTAGCCAAACATTTATATTTTATCATGTGTGCACAAATAGTAAGAAAATGCCCCGGACAGCAAGTGGTTAAGATGAGGGTCAGGTAGGTATGCACAAGGAAAAAAAGAAAGAGTGCACATGCATGGGCTTAATGAATTGTAAATCTTTTTAGCCCTGTTGACAGCACTTTTCTTCAGTGCATATGCATGGGTTAATTGATTGTACATCTCTCCAGCTCTATTGCCAGCACTGCTCCTCAAGGACAAAGTAAAGTGCTCTATTTGAGATGAAGGATCTTCTTCTGCAATGTTAACCTGCTACACCTTAAAGTTTGAGCCAAGCTAGGGGAAGCATCACAAGGATTGTACAACCTTTTAGCAGTGCTGGGCTTAGGATCATCTGGCAGAATGCCACGTTTCCCCTGCAGGGGTAGCAGAAAAGGTTTATGAAGTATTAGTTACCAGCCCAGTCAAGCAGTTACATTCGCCTCAAGTTCCCCTCTAGCCCAAATGCAGTCGGTTAAAGAGGTTTTTGCGGCGTACTTCCTAGATGATAGTTTACCCTCACTGAATCCCTTATTGTGGGCCTTTACTCAACCCATAATTAGGGCAGTAAGGAGGCCATAAGTTAGAAGGAATATGTACTTTCAAGATTGATGCAACAGTCATCTGACTAGTTAGAAGTGTTACATTACCTATGGATGACGTAGTATCCTTTAAGGACACCCTATATGAGTAGTGAAAAGTTTTATACCTTTCTGGAGCAACTGTGGATCAGTAATGGCTCTTACTTCAGTAGTCAAGACAATCTGTGTTTGGGCAGAGAACACAGAAGCAGACCTTATGGCTGGCAAGAGGTCTTGGTGTTGCTGCAGTTTTGACTGAAATTAGATCAGCCAGTGAATTTATACTGAGATTGCTTGGGATCTTCTTTGTTGCTGATCCCGGACTGAAGTTATCTTAAGCGGTGCAGAGCTCCATTTATTGGCTCCTCCAGGTTCAGCAACAAGTTACACACCACAATTTCTGAAGTCACAAGGGCAATCGGAATTAATTCCTCATATTGGAAGGTCCCATTGCCATCACCAACAAATGGGCAGGAGGCAAAGAAACTAATGATTTAGAGATGCCAAATCTTATAGGTCTCTGAAAGACTACAGAAAGGGATGGAAGAGTTCAGTCGTTTCTTCACTTGAACAAGCCAAGATTACTCCCTCCCTGGAGAAAGGCGTCCCTGTGATGATTTCTCTGACTGAACTTGCCCAGTAGATCACAGGTTGTGGGAAGTTATGCAAGTTTAAGCATATACTGTTTAGGTCTCATGGGTCCTGTTAAATATTCAAGATGGACATTGTTGGGATTCTCTTCACAATTTTCAGTCCAATTCTCATCAGGGTTCCTTGGTGTAAGCAAAACTTCAGATTCTATGCACATATGTCCAAAGGGTGTCACAATATTTCCTGTCCAGAATAAGACAAGGTTTCTATCCTATATTTTTCCTACTGAAAAAAACCAGGAGACATAATCTTGGTACAGATTAATCTTGGTTCTGAAAGCTTTAAAACAGAAGGATCAGGACCCAGATATAACATATGGAATTACTTCAGTCAGTCCTTCAAGCCAGCAAACAGGTCATGGGATGTTATGTCTAGCAGACGTGTATTCACGTTCCTGTACACCCATACTTCCACTAATGTCTTGCTTACCATTCTAGGGTTCCACTTTCAGTTTGTTTATCTGCCCTTTGGCCTTGCCACATTCTTAGGCCATTTTTCAAATGTTATATCCAGTCATTATCATCTTGAGTGAACTAGACTTTCAAGTATTCACTTTTTGGGTGACATCCTGCGGATAATTCAACATGCTCATACTCTGGCAGTTCACTAGGACATCTTAATTTAGGCTCTGATCAAATCTAAAAGGATCGTCAACAGGAAAAGCCAAGTCATCCCAAGAAGAAGAGAAGCTCTGGAGAATTTCCAAGAAGGCAGTACTCTTGGTGTTATGTTTGAGGCAGGTCAAGTTTCTATCCTGCTCATTGTTGTCTCCAGTTGACAGAATCAGTTCTAATAGTGAAACAGACTTATTGGAGGCTGAGCCCCTTCCAATGGAATTCTTAAGGCAACAGAATACATTCCCTGTAACAAAGTATCAGTCGATTCCAAATATGAGATTCTTTGGTTGTGGCTAAGGCCTGTGTGCCTGTTTCAACTGTCATCAAAAGTGTCCTTATCCATTGATAATGTTAGCAAGGGATTCTTCTGCATTCAGTTGTGCTAATCACCTCAAAGACTTCTTAGTCCAAGGCGAGTGACAGAAGTCATTGGGGGAAGAATCTCCAGCATCTTTAGACAACCTTTCAGGTCCCGAAAGCATTTTCATATAAGATCCAGGAATCTTAAATAATGAGTTACATGGACAACAGCATGATGATTTTTTTCATAGATTCAGGGTCATCAAGATGGAAGGAACTGCTCACTGCTGCTGGAGGTTTATCCAATCATGTCTTCAGCACAAAGAAACTTGGTGCATCTCCTTGCATCCTACGTTCACTTTCCCAGAATTTCCTGGCAGAAGCTGTAAGCCACGAAGTCCTGGACAACAATGAATCCTTTCTTATCCAGTAAGTGTTTCTGTGATTCAGCAGCAAGGGGCTGTCCAGATCTTAACCTGATCAACTCCTAAGAGCATGAAGTGCAGGTGCTTCTTGTCGAGAGAAAACTGTCCAATGGCAAAATAAGTGTTTTTTTCATGTTTATGTGTTTCCTTCCTTTGGTTCCTAGATTGGTACATAGGGCCCACAATTTTCTAAGTATGGTAATCACAATCATTTGACTGTGGTCTATCTAACAGGGTTCCCTCTCTTGTAGACTGGAACCTTCTAGTCATTCTGAACAACCCAGGCTTTGTACAGTAGGTGCTACATCCAAGTGCAACCAAATCATTTTAAGAGGCATGTAGGCTGAAAGTAAAGACTAGCTTGCCTGGATTACTCTTCAGCTATTGTGATTTTCATTGAATGCTAGAGCACCTACTAAAATGTCACATATTCTACAGTGTGGAATAGTAAGTTCTTAGAGCTTGCAAGCTCAAAGGGGTTTTGATCCTCCTCACCCTGCCATGACAGAGACATTGACATTTCTTCAGGCAGGCAATATGTACTTTGGTGTCAGTAACCTCTATTCTGTTTGTTCGAGACACAATGGGCAGCTCATTGGTTGAAAGCCCAGTTCTTAAGGGCCTTTGCTAGAATTCACTCTGAGGAATCGTTCCCTTGCCCTTGGATTTAAAGAGTGCTGGATATATTCCCTCTTCCTTTACTTTGTTCAGATAAGGCTTCCGCAGTAGGAATGTAATAGGAAGATAGATTTGAGATTGCCTCTTCTGGCAGGTCGATCTATTCAACTTTCTGGCGTTACCAGAAAAGGGCTCTCTGTGTCTATGACTATGCATCATGGCTGGTCAAGGTTGTCCAAGAAGAAGATGGAGTCACACATTATTCTCTGGGTCCACTCTACAGATGGATTTAATCCCATTGGACAGAATTTAGCTGTGTCTCCAGAGTTACTCTGTAAGGCAGTGACCTCCATGTATGACATGTTCTTGTCCTGTTATAAGGTCTTTCCAGCAGTCTTGACCAGGGTGAAGTTTGGTTGGAATATGTTTAACAGCTGTGCAAATTAAATATCTCAGCATTATCCTCCCTGGTTGTTGGCGTGCTATGTCCCATTCGTATGCTGCCATGTTTGGCGTCAGGAAAACTGAAAATTGTATACTTACCCATCGGTCATTTTCCTTTCCTGACTCTAATACATGGCAGCATACGGGACCCTCCCATGGCTTTCACATCGAGTATTGTTACAAGAATGCCTGCCTTGGGAGGCGTGTTTAATTTATAGTACAACCGGTCCTGTGATTGGCCAGGGGGCGGAGCTATACCTATTCGTATGCTGCCATGTATTGGCATCAGGAAAGGAAAATTACCGATAGGCAAGTATACAATTATCTGTTATAATGCATAAATGGACAGAACCATATCCACCCATTTCAGGTTTAATACAAGCTTAAAACTGCCATTATACAGTATATCCTAGACTTCAAACACTGTTTCTCACTCCTCTTTCCTCCTCAAATGTTAAGGAATGGGCGAAGGACTTTGCTGACCCGGACTTGTTGGACAAGATTCTTCGAGGTTATGCGAAAATAAGATCAGTCGCCACGAATGAAACGTGGAGACCCAATTCAAGATCATCCATAGGGCCTATGTCCCGTTCTTCCGTACTAAGGACGCTACTCTCAAGACTTCTTCAAAAAGGTTGTTAACTTCCGTATGTCCAAAGGTTGTTAACTTCCGTAAATGTGGAGGCCACAGACCAACACTACATCATTGTTTGTGGAGCTGTCCCTTAATATTCGACTTCTGGAAACAGACTCTTACTTATATTGGTTCCATTCTCTCCTGGCAACCGGACCTGGATCCCGCCCCTTGTCTATTTAGTTTTTTCGAAACTTCAGGAGAGGGTCGGGGACCTTCGAGCCGAAAGGGTACGGACTGGGCCCACCTTTGCCTCCTAACAGCGAGGTGGTGTATAATGAGGCAATGGGACTCCCCTACGGCTCCAACAATTACGGAATATATTAAAGATCTTAAGCTTCTGTTCTGTAAAGAGAAGCTGGATGCAGAGATGCATAAAGATGCCCGTTCTACGCCTTTCCTTTCTAGATGGAGGTACTTTATCAGTAGATCTTACTCTGTACCAGAAATCCAACAAATTATCAGGCCCTTCCGATATACTAAATGGTACCTGAAAAAACGATGTGTCAAATGCCTTGGGGGTTCTGCAGGTAGGCCTTGATTAAAAGACTCAATTATGGCGCTGCTTAAGAAACCTGGGCTATTGACTGTTTGCATTGTACGGGTGATAACTATAGGCGATGACCTGTTCATTGTGGTTATGTGGATCATTAATAAACTGAGATGAGATGTCATGGATGTGATCAATACTGCACTATTTACCGGTTTTCTGAAGTGATGACTTGAAACTTTATTAAAAAAAACACTTTAATAAAAAAAATTTTTAAACTTCTGTTCTAAAGAAAAAAACAAGTTACAATACAGAAACAAACACACTTTACCTTTGTAAAGTTAGAGAGAATAGCATCCTGTTGCTATGGTAACCCAATGCCTACTAATTTAATGCAGTGAAAGAGAATGGCAAGTGTGCTGGACCTTTCTAAACTGAAAGTCCATGTTGGATATTTTGGGCTTTGAGGAGCACTTAGAAAGCAGGGGTCTGAACATCCCCTTCCTGCTAATTAATAATTTACTATTACTACTTCAATGGCAGCAGCAGGTTTGAAAACCTTTTCCTGTCATCTTTTTCTCCAGGCATAAACTAACACCAGGAGCTGCCTTTTCATTTCTCCCGTTCCATTTATTTAAACATATATGTTCGAGTGAGTCGAGACTAAATATTTAGGGTTGCAACCAGCCAATAGAAAGTTGACAGCTCACACATTTATAGTTACCTTAATCTAGTTAACATGCAGATTTGTATGCTAGACATGAATCTTTGCTTAACACACAAGCAATCAAGGTGCTAAAGACTCTTTGATTACTTTTGGTCTCTAAAACTATATACTGTATATATGATTTACAAAACCTATACAGAGTATACTCACTGCCCATGTTATCTCCATGTTGTCTTTCCGAGTGCCTGCTCCACGGACCTCACTTGGGTTAACTTCTGGGGCTAAAATTTCAAATCAATGTCAGTCACAATTAGGATAAAATAAACAATATGAAGTGGTACAGTAAGATTGATAGCACTGATAGTGTTTCTGATTATCTTTGCTTCATTACCTTCCCACGGGCTAGAACTTGTCCTATTCCAATAAATCCTAGTCTTTTAGTGGGGCAAAGAGGTACATAGCACATGCAAACCAAACTTCATATTTTTGAAACATGGACATCAGCTAAACCCACAAAATTACAATAAACTTATAGGGGGGTATTCACTAAAGGGTGAAGAGTTTGGAGAAGGCAGAAGTGAAAAATCTAGGACAACATCCCAAACTGAGCTGTACAAGCGACTGAGGCACATGGAGATGGATGTGCAGCAGCTCCCTTTTAGGACTGAGGGAGATTGACAAAGCTACGACAGGGAGAACTGCCGGAAATCCCAGCTTGTAGTGCGTGTGCTGCTCAGCTGAGAGGAAAGGAGAGCGATTGGTGCAGTGTCTCAGCTGAGAGCGGAGTAAGAGTGATTGGGGAAAAGCTGGCAGCGGTCAGGTGAGAAGGCGAGAGTGAGTCTGTGCATCTGTGTTTACTCAGAAGCTGAAAGCCGTGTCTGGGGCTGGGGGTGGAGAAGGAATGTGAATGTTGCTTATGATATACCAGCAACATACCAGGAGTATAGAGAAGAGAAAGTGAAAGAGAGAGACTGAAGGAGGGAACATTGTTTACCTGTAGTACTTGAGTGATTACATTGAGCTGCTGGCTATTGGAGGATGAGGAGGAGGAGCAAGGAACTAGTGAGTGAGTGAGGAACAGAAGATGTTTACTGTTTACTAATCACTGATACTGGTACTGATCACTGTGTGCATTGAACATGGGAGGCTGAACTGATTTGTGCTATGTAAGAGAACAACAAGAGCAGCCAGGGGTGAGTGAGTGCAGGAGGGTGACTGATCCATAGCAGCTGCTGAGAGGGGTTTAACAGAAGTGTGTATCTGTGTGTAAGATCTGCTGGGAACTATTGTGGTAGCAATAACTCAGCTGGGAACTTTGTAGAAGTGGTATTAGTCTGCTAGGTGCTGTGTATAATTCTACTGGCTGTATTGTAGTATTAATCTGCTGGGGAATCACTGTGGTAATAAGTGTGATACTAATAACTGCTGTGCATTGGGGGTATTAATCTGCTGAGGAATTACTGTGGTAATAACTGTGTCAATAGTAGTTTGCAGTATTAATTTGCAGGGGAATTACTGAGTTTATTTTGAGTTACATTTGGTCTTGAATTAAATAAAAATGAATATATAAAAATAAATAAAATGTCTTCCATGAGTGGGAATGCAACCCAATGCACATCTTGCTCAATGTATGCGTTTCTTGAACATGCATTTGAGGGTGAATACTGTTGCACCAGTTGTTTGTTTGGAAGCCCTGATTCTGGATCTAAACAATAAACTGGCAACACTGCAGAGCATAAACAACATGGAAAGGAGTCTAGATCTGACTCATCAGGTTCTGGTGGAGGGCAGTAAAGAGGAGGAGATGGAGGAGCAGCATCCCGAGGTGGGTAGCTGGGTTACTGTTAGAAGGCGGGGTAGAGAGAAGAGTGCAAGACAGGCTAGCCCTGAATTGATACACACCAATAAATATGCCAGGTTGCAGGATGTTGGGGATATTAGTTCAGGGGTGGCATTGCTAGAGCAGGACGCTTCCCCTATACGCAGGGGGAGTGACTGCTCCAGTAAGAATGTGAGCAGGATGGATGGACAAGAGAGACAGATGTTGGTGGTGTGGGACTCAATTATCAGACGGATAGACAGACCTGCATGTCATGGTACACATTGGTACCAATGACAAAGTTAGAGGCAGATGGAGTGTCCTGAAAAAAGATTTCAAAGACTTACTGCCCAGATAGCAAGCAATTGAGCTGCAAGTTTGAAAATGACTTGCTAAACTATTGCAGACTTGCCAAGCTTCACAATTTTGTTGCACAATTACAGCAAGTCTGCATTGCAAGTCTCCAGACCAGCGAGCTTGCAGAGCTCTTGCTAAGACCTGCAGGACTCTAGACTTGCCAAGCAAATTTGCTACAAATTCAGAAAGTGTCAACTAGAACTTGTGCTGCGAGTGTTCTGCAAGTCTACAACTTGCCAGGAATATGTGCAGCAAGTTAACAAAATTACAATTTCACCCTGCCACAAGTTTGTAGCAAGTTATCCTTGCTATCTGGGTGTAGCTGCTAGGTTGAAGAAAAGGACCTCCACGGTAGAATTTTCTGAGATACTGCCGGTGCCACGAGCCACTCCAGAGAGACAGTGGAAGTTGAGAAAACTGAAAAAGTGGCTGCGGTACTTGTGTCGGAAAGAGGGCTATGGGTTCATGGAGAACTGGGCTGACTTCTCAATCGGTTACCAGTTCTACAGTAGAGATGGGCTGCATCTAAATGGGGAAGGGGCAGCACTTTTAGGGGAGAACATGGTTAAAAGACTGGAGGGGCATTTAAACTAGATAATGGGGGGAAGGGAATACAAATTAGTATAATAAACAGAGACCAAGTAACTACAGGAGCAATATAGAGGACTGTAATACAAGGGGGACAGAGGACTCACTCCAGTCAATCTAATTAGTAATGTATCAACCATACCGAAGTCTGATAAAGAAAGTAGTTGGGCTTCAGGAATGAGCAATAAAAAAACTCAAATCACTAGCATCAAAGTAAAATGTATGTACACTAGACATGTGCGATTCGTTTAGTTCCGAATCGAAATTCGGACGAATTTTCGGAAATTTGGATGCATCCGAATTACAGTTAAAACGAATACAAACTAATCGAAATTCGGACGAAATTTCGGAAGTTCGGAGATTGGGATGCATCCGAATTCCGAATTACAGCTATAACAAATGTAAACGAATCCGAATTCCCGAAATTCGTTAGCGATAGTCCGTTCGAAATTTTGTTTATTGGACGAAATTTCGTTAGCAGCAAAGTGACATTAGAAAAACAAATGTTTTTTTTTTAGTCTGCAGAAGATGAAAAAAAAAAAAAAAGCGTGAGGTTCCCCCCCAATTCATACCAGACCCTTTAGGTCTGGTAGGAATGTTAGGAGGGACCCTCCCCCAAGTTAAAACAAAAAAAAAAAGTGCGTGGGGTTCCCTCCCAAATCCTACCAGACCCTTTAGGTCTGGTAGGAATTTTAAGGGGGAACCCCAGCCCCCCCCCCCAAAAAATGGGAGGGGAAAAACATGGGGTCCCCCCTAACAGTCCTACCATACCCTTGATCCGAGCACTGGCCCGACAGGGCAGGGAAGGGGGGCGATCGAGCGCCCCCCCTCCCTGCGCCTTACTAGGCCACGTGCCCTCGGCATTGGGATGGTGTCTCCGTGCCGATGGGGACAAGGGCCTCTTCCTCACAACCCTGACCCGGTGGTTGTGGGGGTCTGCGGGCAAGGGGGCTTATTTGCATCGGGATACCCCTTTAAATAAGGGGGCACCCAGATGCCGCCCTCCCCCCTTGTGAATGAGTAAGGGGTACTTGTATCCCTACCCATTCACTAAAGGGTTAAATCAAATAGTTAGTAAAAAGTCCAGACTTTTAGATAAAATCCTTTAATTGAAAAAAAAACAAAGACTCAATTTTTGACTATTCCTTTAATTTATTTTTAAAAAATGGCTCCATTGATGTAATCCAGCGTCAATCACGATGCACGACCCCCGCCGAAATAAAAAAAAGTCCCGCTGCGCGACGACCACCCGAACTCGACGAAAACTCGCCGCAAAATGACATTCAGCCCGATAGTCAACAGATGGGCGGAGAGAGTCTTGACGTCACGCGTCACTCCGCCCATTTGACATTCTCAGCCGTCAAATACTACATAGCATTCGGAAACTCCCGAGTGCTATTCGTGAGTTTCCGAATGCTATTTCGGGTAACACAAATTTCGTCCAATAAACATTTGGACCGGACTACCGCTAACGAATTTTGTCCGAATCCGAATTCAATTGCAGACCCGAATCCGAAAAATGACTACTGCTAACGAATTTCGTCCGAATCCCACAACAAATTCAATTGCGGACCCGAATCCGAAAAACTAAATAACGAAAATCCAAATCAAAACTAAACTAAACTAAACAATTTTTTTGCTGGTGCACATGTCTAATGTACACCAATGCTAGAAGTTTAGCAAATGAATTAGTGGAGCTTGAACTTCTGCTCCTGTAAGAGGACTAAGATATAGTGGGAATAACAGAAACTTGGCTGGACAGCCCACATGACTGGACAACTAATGTGCAAGGGTATGACCTGTTCAAGAGAGAAAGGGTTGGTAGAAGGGTGGAGGGGGTATGCATGTATGTAAAAACACTTAACCGTGCACATACGAGATAACCTCATGACAGAGTTGCGATGGGTGTTGAGTGTTTGTGGTTAGAACTAGATAAGACTGATGCTAGTTGTAAACTAATTGTGGGTGTGTGTTATAAACCCCCGAACATAAGGGGGTTCATAACACAATTATAGACTTCAATTATCTGGACATTGATTGGTCAAATGGAACTTCTCAATCTATGAAGGCTGGCATTTCCTAAACCTGCTGTGGGACAATTTCATGGATGAGATGGTTGATGTGCCAAACAGGAAGAATGCTATGCTAGATTTATTAATTTGCAATAATGCAGACCCAGTTGAAGACATAGCAATTAGAGATACATTGGGTAATAGTGATCACAGGATGATTATGTTTAATGTTGGGTACAGAAAAGAGAAGTGTGTTGGTTTGACAAGAATGGTAAATTTCAAAAAGACAAATTTCGATAAGCTGTGTCATCTAGTATACGACACTAAATGGGACAAATTATTTCGATCACTGAACACTGACGAGAAGTGGGATTGTTTTAGCAATACATTACATAACGCTATTACCAAGTGCATACAACCCAAAACACAGAAATGGAGCACCAGCGGGTTGGACTGGAGTGTGTATCACAAAGACTGTACTGCTAAGGAATTGTTAGCAGAGAATGAGTGTAATGGTACTTACATGTGGATCCAGGAATCAGGATGTGGGCGGCCTGTGCGGAGGATCGGGACTCTCGTGTTGTCAATTGGTGTGCTGTTTGGGAGGATTCGTCCACCAGGAGGAGATGCTGTGGAAGGAGAGAGGCGGCTCTGTCCGTGATGTTGCTGGAAGAGTGTTGACTCTGGGCAGTGTGATGGAGAGTGGAACCCAAATTTGACGAGCACAAGCTAAACTACTGTGACCGCGGTAGTGAGGAACGGCACTCGGTCTGTGTCAGGTCAGCTGAGGGCGGTGTGCACGAGTCGGTGTGCGAGCCTAGCTGACAGATCCCGGGTGATCGGCTTAGTGAAGGGACAGGGGTGTAGTGGATGGGGGTGAGCAAGAGCGACGCATTTCGAGGTGTTTAACCTCTTTTTCAAGCTTAAGTAGAACAGTGGGCAGTGGCGGGAATCCTCCTCCGGGTTTAAAAAGAAAAAAGTGACAGGTGGGCGGAGCTAGTGGTCTCGCGGTTTTGACATTAGGAACGGGGCTGCTGGACACTGACATGTATAAGAGAACTTCGTGTGCACTGGGATGTTGTTTGGGAAAGAGAAAAGAACAATAAAGAACACTCACTGTATGTGTTGTTGTGGTGCTACTTGTAAAAGAGGGGGGGAAAAAAGGGGGGGGGGGGGGAATTGTAGCAATGGAAGTAGTATAATGATTAAAATTGCTTTAGTTGTACATTAAAAGATGTTACTTTAATAGAGGTGATAGTATAATTAAGAGGTATTTTATTCTGGACAATTAGAAAGATTTAAAAAAGGTTATTTAAAAGATTATATGTTGTGTTTTTGTTAAAATGATTAAAAGAATAAAAATCTATATCAAAAGAGCTGTTCTTTTGTGCGTTCTTTTTGGGGGCTTGTGTTTATGAACTCTCACTGAATCAAGGGAACTGAGTGGGTGGGGGGCGGAGATGTCACAAGGAGGGTCATATGTAGCATAAAGAATTTATGTAATGGTTAGAATTTCTAATTCTTCATTGAGTCCTGTTGGGGTGAAGGTATTGAGTCTGTATATCCAGAAGGTCTCTTGTCTACATAACCTCTGGAAACGCTGAGCTGGAGAAAAACGGGTGGGGATGTGTTCTATGGCGAATACGTGTAGATCCTGAATACGTTTGCCATGTTTGGCGGCAAAATGTCTGGGGACACTATGTTCACGGTCGCCATCGGCGATAAACCGCCTGTGTTCGCCTATCCTTTTTCTTAGGGTGCGGGTGGCGCGTCCAATGTATAATAGACCATGGATGGATGCCCACTCTATCCATCAATGTTGTCTTACATGCCAGTTCATCATCCACGGACAATCCACATTCACCGATCATCTTAATAGTTAACCCATTAAACAGTTTATTACATGTTCACACGACCATGTGGTCTATGGCCTAAAGTGCCCATGTGGTCTATTATACATTGGACGCACCATTAAGTAAGTGCCATTACACTCATTCTCTGCTAACAATTCCTTAGCAGTACAGTCTTTGTGATACACACTCCAGTCCAACCCGCTAGTGCTCCATTTCTGTGTTTTTGCGCCCTTTGTGTTCCTTTGTTCAAAAATAAAAGATCAACAACTAAGCCTGCATGGTTAAATAAAACGGTAAGACAACACATCAAAGAAAAGAAGTTGGCATTTAAAAAATATAAGATGGAGGGGACTGCATTGGCATTCTAGAGCTACAAGGAATGCAATAAGAGATGTAAAAATGAAATCCGGGCGGCTAAAATAGATTCCGAAAAGCATATCGCCACAGTCTGTAAGAAGAACACTAAAAATTCTACCAATATATAAACAGTAAAAAAAGGTAAGAAAAGAACAGGTGGGCCCAATAAAATATGAGAACGGGAGATTAATCACAAGCAACCGGGAGAAGTCTAAAGTATTAAATTCATTTTTCTCTTCAGTATACACTCAAGAAAAAGACAGATTTAATGGAGATAAGAATGTGAGTAGCTTAGTGCGTAAGATACCACAGTGGTTGGCGGTAGCCAGGGTTCAATAAAAGAGTTGTAGAACTTAATGCAAATAAATCGTTAGGACCAGATAAGCTGCACCCCAGTGTACTTAAAAGAAGGTTATAGCGAGACCATTATTCCTCATTTTCAAGAACTCCATAATGACTGGAAGGGTACCAAGTGATTGGCGTAAGGCAACGGTAGTACCAATATTCAAAAAAGGTTCTAGATGCCAACCTGTGAACTACAGACCAGTCAGTCTAACATCAATAGTATGCAAACTGATGGAAATGATAAAGGACTATTTAGTGGATTTTGTTCATGACAAATGGTATAATAAGTGATAATCAGCATGGTTGTAGGAAAGACCGTTCTCGTCAGACCAACCTGCTAACATTCTACGAAGAGGTGAGTAGAGATCTGGATGGCGGAAGGCCGGTGGATGTGGTATACCTGGATTTTGCTAAAGCTTTTGACGCGGTACCACATAAACGCCTAATACACAAGCTGAAATCTATGGGCATAGATGAAATGGTGTGTACGTGGATAGACAACTGGCTACAGGAACGTGTCCAGAGAGTATTGATAAATGGCTCATTTTTCAGAATGGTCTATGGTGGAGAGTGGCGTGCCCCTGGGTTCTGTGCTAGGCCCCGTACTGTTTAACTGGTTTATTAATGATATTGGGGAAAGTGTTAATAGCCAGGTTTCTGTGTTTGCTGATGATACTAAATTTGGGAGGGTAATAGACTCGGGCTTAGACATTACAGAAGGACCTGGATAAAATAGGGGAGTGGGCAACTATATGGCAGATGAGGTTTAATGTTGAAAAATCTAAAGTAATGCATTTTGGGGTTAAAAACAGGCAAGCGGATTACACATTAATGGGTACTAGGGAAGTCAGAAATGGAAAAAGATTTGGGGGTCATAGAAGACAACAGATCGAATAATAGCTTGCAATGCCAGGCTGTGGTAAACAAAGCTAGCAGAGTTTTGTCTTGTATTAAAAAGGGAATGTACTGTAGAGATAAAGCAATAATTTTCCCACTTTAAATCACTGGTTCGGCCTCATCTTGAGGCCGAACTGCAGAAAGGATGTCCCTGAGCCAGAGAAGGGCAACTAAACTAAGGGTCAGGCAGACCAAAGCTATGAGACAAGGTTGCTAAATTTAAATTTGTTCACACTAGAAGTGAGGCAATTAAGAGGGGACATGATTTTGATGCATAAAATGTTTAGTGGTGATGGTAACATCGGCAATAAACTTTTTACAGTAAACTCCATAACAAAGACTAGAGGCCACCACCTAAAATTGGTGGAGAAAAGATTTGAACACAAAGGGCGTAGGGGCTTCTTTTCAATTAGAGTGGTTCAATTTTGGAACTCGCTGCCACAAGTAGTGGTATCAGCAGAGAGTATTGATGTATGTAATTGTTATTTTGAATACCTTCCTCAGAGACCATAACATACAGGGGTACAGGTACTCACTAGATAACACAGGGACTCTCATACACATGCATAATCACACACACAAAGGTTGAACTTGATGGACCGGTGTCTTTATTCAACCTCAAATACTATGCAACATAGCTTAACTGGAAAGTGAGCTGAATTGGAGAATTTTTCCAAATCAGCTATTTTGTCCTAGGTTGTTCACTTCTCCTGTCTTCTCCGAACTCTTCACCCTTTGTTTATTATAGGTATTTACTGTATATAGCACTGACAATTTACACAGCGCTTTATATGTGCACATTCACATCAATCCCTGCTCCTGAGGAGCTTACATTCTACGGTCCCTATCTCACATGCATATGTACAAGGCCCAATTTAGACAGGAGCCAATTAACCTTCCAGCATGTCTTGAGTGCGGGAGGAAACCGGGAGGAGTACCTGGTGAAAACCCATGCAAGCACAGGGAGAACATGCAAACTCCTTTTAGATAGTGACCTGGCCAGGGTACAAACCAGGAAGACCCAGCCCAGGCCAGCTCTGCAAGGCAGAAGTGCTAACCACTATGCCACCGTGCTATTGATTATTTTATAAGCATATGTTTCTGGCTAATACATACATTTAATCATAAATTAAATGTTAAAGCTGGATTGTTAAATTAGAAAATTTGGAGTCCTGTGAGTGTTGAACAACAATTTAGTGTGCTTCTATTTGCAAGTATTATGTCCTTACCACTATTTTTGCCCGAATAGTTTTTTTGTATTAAAACAGATTTTTGCATTCTTTAACTGTATTTAGAAAATCATGAAACACTGGACACAATTTATTTTTAAACAGATTAAGTTTACTCACGTGCCCCATTGGTTTGATATCTTTCAGAAGTTGGACTGGGCATGCTGCTTCCAAGATCATTTACTGCCAGTACCCGAAACTGGTAGTTGACATATGGAGAGAGACGAAGCAAAGCAGAGTTTACATTACCAGGCACGGAGGCAAGGTTATGCCACGTGCCAGGCTGCAAACGATCCTCTTCAAACTGTACAACGAAACCTGTAGAATAAAAAATATTTTGGCAGAAGCAAATAGTGTAAAAAATAAAACAAATGAAATATATTAAAAGGAATGTGAGATATTTTAAAGGAAATACCCATAGCACGAGCAGGAAAAATACAGTATGTCTGCAGTATTCATTATTTTGCATGAAGTGGTCTAGATCAACATTTAGGGGTCTATTCACTAAGCTGCCGTAGGCAGCCGAGTGAATGACCGACCTAAAGCGAAGTGAGCCGAACACTGTTCGGCTATTCACTTCAGGCTGGTACGGCTGATTTCAGCCGTATATCGGCTGAAATCAGCCGTACATCGGGTGGCTTCGGGTCGGCCGAACATGCATTGCACCCGCCCTCTGCTTCTGTCAATCAGTAGTGGGGACCTGATGGAGAACTGCAGCAGAGGGCGGGTGCAATGCTAGTTTGCTATTGGCTATTGCAAATTGAAATAGCCAATAGGAATCTAGCAATGCATTCCTATGGCCAAAATTTTTATTTTTTTTTTCTATTCTGGACATGGCTCCGTGCCAGAATAGTAGAAAAAAAAGAGTAGAAAAAAATAAAATTATTAAACGATTGTGCGGAGCTAGCAATGACAGCTGTATACCAACAAGTTTGCTGTCTGGAGATCAGTGTCCCTGGTTAGCTGGTAACCAGGGACGCTGATCTCTCTGCAAATGGCCGGAGCCAGCCGTAAGATCACGGCTGGCTCTGCCCAGCAGTCAGAAGCAGGCTGTCGGCCGGCCAGCCAATGGCCGGCCGCTCGGCCAGCTTCGGCTTTCAGCGCGGCTCAGCATATGCCTTCGGCTTGACTGAGCCGCTCGGCCAAGTTCGGGGGCTTTACGGGCTATAGTGAATAGCCCGTACAGCAGCCCTTCGGTTCTACTGAACTGAAGGGGTCCTGGGGCCGAAGCTAGCCGAAGGATCGGCCGAAGCTACAGCTAGATCCTTCAGCTGGTTAGTGAATAGTCCCCTTAATCTGAACTAACCAAGCCCAGAACAATAACAAGTGTATTCAGCAATTTAAAGAGCACAATGTTTAGTGCAAGAGATCATTCACCAACCACTAGAAATTCATCTTTGATTTTACTCATTTATGCTTAAATAAAGCTTACATACACAACAGTGCATTAAGAAAATGTAATATTAGTCTCAGACCCAGTGTAGCCTTGAATCCAGTGTACCCAACAGAGTCAAAAACACCACAGAAGTGAAAGCCAGTTATTCTGTCAGTAGGTTTTTGGATTGTGACTGGCAATTACACATACAGATCTGAAAAGCTTGTAACACTAAGGGAGTATTTACCTGTTATAGGACTGTTATTTTCGTCACCTGGAATCCATGTAAGACGGACACTTCGTTCGGCAAGATCTGTCAGCTCCAAATCCATAGGTGGGTCTGGCTTGTCTATGTAGCAGAAGTAAGTAGTTACCAAAAATACTTAACACAGGATGCTAAAACATGATGCTACTAGTAACTGTGCAGGATACTTTCGTTGCTCTCTTTTACTATTTACCAAGTACATATGCAAGAGGCTAACCTGACTTAACACTTTTTGGTTATATAGTTTATATCATATATATATATATATACACATACATATATACACATATACACACACATATATATACTCATATACATACACACCACATACATATATACACACACAGGTATTCCTCACTTAACGACCGAGTTCCGTTCCTACGACCAGGTCGTTAAACGAATTGGTCGTAAAGTGAGGAACTCTATACAGTACTGTACTGCAATAGTACAGTACTGTATAGCGTTGCAGATGTACTATACCGAACAGCGTACTGTACATCGGGCAATGAAAATACGTAACGGGACCCGCGGTGAAGATCGGAGGACATCACTTCCGCCGGCGACGCGTCTCACTGACGCCGGCGCGCAAGGTCGGAGGTCGCTCGGAGACGGTGGTAAGTGCGAGTGGTCGCAAAGCAGGTAAGTCGTTAAGCGAGGATTATCTGTATACCAAAAAGTGTGAAGTCAGGTGTTAGCCTGTTACGTCCGATGGATGTCTTTGCATGTGTGTGCCAGTGTCTGGTCACAAATCCTGACATGCCACACAATGTGGCAAATATAAGAATATAGGTGGCAAAAGTGTACATGGCCTCCTAGACTCCGGGAACCTGGTTACCCTGCTTGTTGACCCTGAACCACTGACCCAGCACCAGTTAGGAGTGTTGTGTGAACACAGTAACTGTAGGAAGTAACCCACAGTGCTGGAAACCTTTGAAACCAGCCACAGGGACTATTGCAATAAAGTAGTTGTGTTCCCTTCACTGTTGCACAGTGTAATCCTGGGGAGAGATTTTCTACTGTTTGGAAAGTTGTGTAGTGGGGAGGAAAAGGCCCTTGAACCTGAAAATACCATAGGGGATCATTCTACGAGTCACAGGCATTGTTGTCAGGGGGCGGGGCCTCGTCACGATGGCGGACGGCCGCGTATAGCAAGCTCCTAACACTGGGCTCCTTCCAGACGAGTGGGTTCTGAGACATATCCCTCTGGTCTCTGCTTAGCGGCCGCGGTGTGTGTGGGGAGAGATGCTGCAGCATAGACGACCTCCTCTGTCTGCATGTGATGCCGAGCTCCGTTCGTCAGTCAGGTGAATAGAAGCAGCGAGGCAGCAGTGAGAATGAGGGGAGAAGAAAGCTCTCCCTGCTGGGAGGGGGGGTCTAGGCTCCCGTGCAGTATCAAGGCTATGAGGAGAAAGAAAGCTTAAGGAGGGGTACGCTCAATGAAAGGAGCAAGTTCCATGAAACAATTTCTTACTGCTCGTCAGAGACTCGCCTGGAAGCTCGCATGGAGGGAGACGTTGTGGACGTGGAGTAAGGGACCCATTTCTCTAGTACCTCAGGTAAGGTTGATAAGACTGTATCCCTGGAGGTATCATCCTGCTCAGAGTTGTCTGGGGAGGGAGAGACAGGAGGAAGTCATGCTTCTTTGGGGATACTGAAAGATTTTCCCACTAAAAAGAAATTAGAAGCAATGTTTCTCGTCTGGAAAATTCAATTAAAAATTAGCTCTCTATAGTTAGGGAAGATATCTCACATGTGTTAACAAGAATGGAGGACATTGAATTTCGCCTTAAATCAACATGCATTGGCTATTTAAGGGGTTACAGGAAAGTAACAATGCCCTTCAAGCGAATATACGCGCAATGGCGTATCGAGTAGAAGATCAAGAAAATCGAGGGAGTAGAAATAATGTTCGAGTCCGAGGGATTCCAGAATCTAAAGGGGATAGTGAACTGGTAACAACAATGCCGATTATTTTCAATAAGATATTGGGGAGAGAACCCATATCGCCCCTATGTTGGATTGGGTACATCGGTTATTCTATGTGAGAACTTATAGTCTAGATATACCACGGGACATTGTATGTCGTTTTCATTATTATAGACAGAAGGATGAAATTATTTAAAAAAATTGTGGAACTTTGAGCCAATTATATATGAAGGAGCATGTGTTAATTTTTCCAGACATGGCACAGGACACTATGAAAAGGAGAAGAGTTTTGCGACCTCTGTTGGAGATATTACATGCCAATTCTATCTTCTACCGCAGGGGGTTTCCATCATGCCTGATAGCCCGCAAGAATGGGAAATCAGCAGTTTTAAAGGTTCCCTGAAGATTTGGACACATTTTGTTCTATTTTAGAGGTGCAGAGTCCAGATATCCCACAGTGGAAGGATGATATATAGATTAAAATTACAATAACTTCTATTAGAGGGACATGTTTCTCTTCTTATTCTAGTAATTAATGATTATACTATTACTGTCCCCCTTTTGTTAATTTTTGCCATTTTTTTCCTTTTTGTGTTAGTTTAGGAAGGAGCCCAGCTTCTAGCCAGTACCCCCTGTGGTAAGGGTGCTTGTGTTTAATGCACACAATCGTGCAAAAGGCGCTATATATGTTTCTTGGTAAAGGTTGTGTTTGTGAGCAAGGGTTACGAATCTGACCCCACGTCCGCCCCCCCCCTTTTTTTCTCCCCAGGCCGATATTGTTATGTTTAAGGGATATGTTCTTACAGACTCAACCCAATGGCGACTCTAAAATATATGACTTATATAATGTAAAGGGGCTCAACTCTCCTGTTAAACGACATTCTATACTTCGAGAATTAAGACGGGAATCTGTTCAAGTGGCCTTCCTTCAAGAGACGAGACTCATTTCACAGCGGATTCTAAGATTGGTCTTGACACATAGTTTTCCTCAGTGGTTTTATAGTTATTCTGATAATAAACGTTCTAGAGGGGTGGCCATTGGATTGAGCAGAGGAGCCCATTTTGTGTTCAAGGACTTTATCTCTGATAAAGAAAAGAGATACCTTTTTGTCAAGGGGATTTTTAATAATAAATGTTTTACATTTGCTTCAGTGTATGTCCCCAACCAATATCAGAGTACATTTTTAGTGCGGACATTAACCTCTCTTTTGGATTTTCAGGAGGGTTCACTGGTGTTGGCAGGGGATTTCAATTTGGTGTTAGAACCTCTGCAGGTCTCCTCCTCAGGTCATACAACTTTGTCCTTTAAACAACTTTTAATAAAAAGAATTATGCATAAAGCCCAACTGGTGGACAGTTGGAGATTACTTCATCCAATAGAAAGGGATTATTGTTTTTATTCAAAAGTACATAATACATACTCTAGAATTGATTATATATGGGTGGATCATTGTGATATACCTAGTATTTGTAGTGCAGAAATCTTGCAAGTGACACTCTCAGATCACTCCCCAGTAACAGCAACAATTTTATTTGCACCATCTTTACCGCGACCGTTCAGTTGTAAGATAATGAAGCCTTACTTAGAGATCAGGGAATACAAAAGGAGACTGAGCAGGATTTAAAAGACTTTAGGGAAAATATTCTGTTTCTTCCTCAGATGTACTTAGGGGTAGACTGATTTCCCAGGGGACTAGGAAATAAATGGAACGTATGTGCAGGGTAAAAGGAGCTTCTAAATAAAATTAATAAATTGGAAGCCCTGCATAATTGCGCTCTTCAAATATCTTATTTAGCTGACCTACTTGCTCTAAGAGAGGAACTATGGAATTAATTGTTTCAGCAGACTAAATATAATTTTTCTTTGGTCTCAAGGCGATTTTACGAATGGGGGAATAAGTCGGATAAACTACTGGCAAGAGCCTTACGTCATAAGAGAACATTGCGTTTCATCCCTAAAGTTAAGTCTGCACAGGGCCGGATGGTTTATCACTGATAAAATTACCTAAAAGTGGCTGAAATCTAGGGGGGGCCTAGATTTCAGCCACTTTTAGGTCATTTTATCAGTCTTTGTATAATGTATCCGGGGAGAAAACAGGAGAACAATTAGACCTATATGTAAGAAGAAGATACAACAGTATTTATCTAAAAGGGTATTCCCTAAGATAGAAGTGGAGGCAACGGAGGCCTTGGAGGGAGATATCATTCTGGAGGAAATAAAAAAGACCCTGAGCGCGTTGCCGTTAGGTAAGAGCCCAGGCCCTGATGGGTTACCTGTAGCGTATTACAGAACATATCAAGAAGTACTTTTGCCTCATCTACAAGATTATATTAACTCATTTGTGCAAGGGGGACACTGAGCACAGGAAACTACATTGGCACATATTACAGTGATCCCCAAAATGGGAAAGGATCCTACGAGTCCGGCCAGTTACAGACCTATATCTTTGTTGAATAATGACATCAAATTATACGCAAATGTACTGGCTTCTAGAATACAGCAGTTCCTCTTGCAATTAATCGATCCTGATCAAACAGGCTTTATTCCGTAGAGAATACCGGGAATAGTATCCTGTATACGATTTCCATTATCCACTCTGTACGAAGAGGGTGGCAATATTTGCTGTTGCTCACCACGGATGCTGAAAAGGCATTTGATAGAGTGGATTGGAATTATTTGTTTAGTATTTTAGAGCATTTTGGGATTGGCCAGAGAATGATATCTAGAATACAGGCAATGTATCATTTGCCGATGGCTCAGATTAAATTAATGGTTCTCTATCACAGCCTTTTCAATTATATAATGGTCCCCTATTCTTTTTGCTCTTTTTTTAGAACAATTATTAAGTTCAATTAGGGAAAATCCTAGTATACATGGAGTATTGGTGGGAGGTTATGAACATAAAAGTTAGCAGCATATGCGGATATACTTTTTTACATCCAGCAACCACACATAACAATCCCAAATTTGTTGAAAAAATTGGAGATATTTGGCCAGATCTCTAATTTTAAAATATAAACAAATCAGAGATATTGAATATTAATATTCCTAGGGAAGTGGAAGCACAATTACCACCCCCTTTTTCCATTTAGTTGGCAGAAACAGTAGATTAAGTATTTGGGGATTTATTTACCTTCGTAGTTGTCTGATTTATATC